TCTCTGTGAATATTACTTCTCAGTAACATTCATGATGACTGCTGCATTTTCTCACACTTGTACCAAAATAAGCTTCTTTTTTTTCTGATTACTTTCTGGGACCAAGTAGCCTGAGAGTGGTGGTTTATAAATTATTCTTATCTTTTTCATTCTGATTGTCCACGGATTAGAGCAATATTTTAAAAAGATAATATCTTGCATCTCAGAATTTACATGTAAATCTGTCTTAAGCATAGCCATGTATGTAGATTTTCAATTAAAAAAACCCCAAGCAACAAAAAATGAGAAATTATCAAGGGACTGGAATTCTATTTACTTATAGGAAAATATTCTTCTCATTGGCTACTTAACCAACACATGCAGCATGTATCTCAATTCTTATTCAATTGTGTCCATTTTTGTTTGATAAGTAAGTTAAAATGAAAAGGCAGGGGAGGCTGAATGGTGATACCTTATTATGAACTTCCCTATAATGAAAAATGCTTTTATTCCAAATTCTTATTCACTAAAGCATAGTAAGATAGTTATGCAAGCAGTGCTAAAATTGATAAACAAAACATGCTCCAGTTAACACCATCACAATGGAGAAAACTATAAATGGCTCAAGATTTAATGCTGGTGTGTTTTTTTGACATCTTGTAAAATTTCAATTTTGGCAAAGACTTGAAAACAACATGTAATTTGTGAATTACACATTATGTAAGGAATCCTAACAAATAACAGGAGGAAAATCTTGAAACAGCCCGTCTCACACTGACTCATAAAGGTAAGTGCAATATGACAGGAGATCTTCGTCACAGACTTTCCAAAGTCTCCACTTTGCTTACACTACTGCATTTCTGTGTTTAAGTTATTTTTTTCCATAATGAAGAACATTTGAGCAATAACAAGAAGTTTGTAATTTGTTGTTGCTTGGACATGAATCTCTAGGATCTGCCAAGTTCCACATTTACTCACAGACTGAATAAAAAACTGCATCTGCGTCTAAAATTTATATGAGAAATAACAAGTCTTACAAAACTTGTCACATCAAAATGAGATCAAAATACCGGTTTTGCAAATCCAACTCCTCTTTGCAAATCTAGTTTCTTGTTTTCTGTTGTTTTTCATTGCCATATTTGGAACATGTTTCAGTAATGGAGAGAGATTCAAAATTAGAAGTCTATGCATTTAGTAGAAAAGTGAATAGGCACTGCAGTATGTCCAGCATTTAAAGATCTTAGAACAAGTCTACAGAAGAAGCTGTAAGTTCAGCTAGAAAGGGGATTTAATTTATTATGTCTTTACAACTTCGTTTCTCATTTCAAGCTATAGAAAGTATATAAAGATCTGGTAACATTTCACAGTTTGCACAGATGTAATGGACCATGAATTGAAGGAATTTGAAGGGTTAGTTTAAAAATATCTATAAGAGTCAGTAGTTAAGGTTTATTACAGTAAAAAGCATATCTGTTAATTGGCACCTTCAGCTCAGGATGCTCACAGCATTTTGGTTTATGTTTTAAGTTAGAATGATCTTCAGTCACACCATCTAGGCAGACTTTCCTGTAGAAAGTAAACATTTTTGGAGCTGTGTAAGAGTTTACAAATGCTAACTGAGCCTCTCTGACCAGAATGATTAAACAAACATGTTGAACTTAGAGGTAAGACTCTCTGCTTAATTATCTCACACATTACAAGGCAGACAAATGTCTAAAATCCCAAAGGCGTCCAGCGTTCTGGTCCAACAGTTCAGCCATTAAAAATCTTCAATTTAAGATGGATGGAGCCTTTAATGATTGGGACAAAATATATATTTGGATCAGTATGTTTTAATGATTTCATTTTCTTTATTGAAATGTTTGGCAAATCAGCCTAATTATCTGCTATAACAGTTCATCTGTTCTGTAACAACAGAGAAGGTTTTTGACATGACCTTTTGAGGTAAAATTCTTTGTTCAGCTTTGTTGGATTTCTTCATATATACTATAAAAATGGCTAAGGAGAGGTTAAACTCAGGTGCAGTTATTTACAATTCCCAAAGAATGATGCTGGTACCACCACAGTGTGGTAATAACCAAGCCCTACCAACTGCAGTTTACAGAGCTTGAAACAGCCAAATATGAAAGAGCCAATATAGGTTGAATGGAATGGAAAGATGATTCAATGGCTAAAGGCTGCTTAGGGATTTGGGAGATCTGAACCAAGATCTCAACTCCTCCACTGAAACCCTGTCTAAAAAAGAGCAACTTTCTCCTGTTTGCAGCAAGTACCTGCAGCTTCTGTAACAGCTCTTAAACTCTTAATGTTTCAAGTGAAGACAATAATCCACGTGAAAAATGAGAGAGTGGAGAAATGAGAATAATTCCTGCCTGTAAATGCTGAAGGCCAGAAATATCATCTGACTGTTGATATCCTCGCCATTCCTCTGGCCATGGTCCCCACCTCTGTCAGACTGAAAGGGGAGTCAGCTCTCTGCATGCCAAAGTCTTGATAACAGCTGTGGCAGCCTCAGTAAAAGAGAAGATGGGAACAGAGGTAAGAAGGGGACAGGATAAAGAAGAATAAAAAGATATGATTACTCTGCCATCTTCAGCTCTGAAATTCTCTGGACAGAGTCTGACTTCATATTACAAAAATCCTTCTCATATTTTGTCATGTTTCTGTAAGAACAGAACCGAGCCAAGTGTGACTGGAAAATATCAGTAGGTCAAATGTAGCTTGGATGTTACACTTATTTCTTGGGGTTTTTTCTTGCGTGTATAAATGGTGCATGTGAATACCACAAACGTGTCATCACACTGAAGAGTCAGGAAAATGGGAATGAAACAGCTGGTGAGCTGACACTGCCTGTGCTGTGATGTGCAGAAGCTGCTGCAGGGGCTTTCCATTGTTGGTGGTGGATCTTGAGCTATCAGCAGGGAGAGAAAAGCTACCAGAAATATTTCAGTACCCTTAGCTGCCTTAATTCTGATTTAAATTTCCAAAGGGACTGAGGATGGTCAACAGCACTCAGAAATGGACCCTGTAAAGAAAGATCTCCAAGCAGCTAAAATTCTGTTGTTTCAGCTCACTTTCCTTTGGTGTACCGGGAAGCCAAGTAAGCATCTGGAACATTTGAACTTCTGATAAATCATTCCTTAGTGACAGGATACAGGCTATAGAAGAGAATGCCAGGAAATCTCATTTCTCAAAGTACTTTATTTTCTTTTGTACATGCTTACTGCATAGCAAAAAAAGGGTGCTTATATATTTACATTATTTAAATTAATGTGATATTAACATAATAACATGTTTATATTTTAATGTGATATTAACATAATAACATTTTTATATTTTCATGTTATTATTAACATAATAACATTTTTATATTTTACTTCTCAGTACCAAATACTCAAAAATAACTTCTGTTGCCTCAATAACCTCTGTGTAGAGCTCATTTTGTCTAAGGGTTGCATGAACAGCATGCTCATGGACGAGACAGTATGATAACACTGGATATAACAGAAAGCCTTGCAGTGTTTCATCATAGTTGTCCCCATTGCTTCAGACAAAGAAAGTATGAGCAATAGAAGTATTTATGACATAGGATTATACTGGTTTATCAAAGAAAAACCATGGAAATTGCCTATAAATCATATACAGTTATCTAAATCCCTTAGTCTTTAAATCACATTTGCGCACATATTTTGTAGTTTAGTTATTTGAAGGTTTAATACAAATTTCCCATTTTAAATGAACTTTATTGCTCCATTCAAGCTCACACAGATAAAGACCATGTAGCTGCCATCTGAGTTTACTCATGTCACCAAACTCCATCTCCCTTGGTAGCTTTAGAAGCTGTAACCTTAAGTGCTTTGAAAAGAATGAAGACTGTTAGTTTCAGCATATCTTAGATCATCTTCCACTCAGTTTTGATCAAGGTTCCTAGAGGTTAAAGTGCATACAGACAATTCAGTACACTATGAGTCCCTTTATATGTATAATCAACTTAGCTCAAAAATACAGTCCAACTGGGGAAAAGCCATCTTGTATTAAAATCTCACAGATTAACTCTGCAAAAAATATGTAGGTATTAATAGAATCTGAATGCTTGAATACCCTGAGCTTTCAAGACCACTGTTATCTTCAGTTAGATTTCTAATGTAGTTAGATGATGTCCTTCTTCATATTCTCAGTTTCTTCTGTTTGGGAGATTATACCAGTTGTGCTGAGATTTTATATATCCATTGAATTACATTAATTATGCTTTGTGAATACTAAAAACCTGAGTCTCTGAGCTGAAGTGTAAGCATGAATATAAATAGCATTCACTCACTCAAAATGAGTAAATGAATGCTTTCACTCCAAGGTAGAAAGGGTAAAGAATCTTCTTCTACGAAGAAAACTCAGCTAACTTCATGCAGGTGGGTGCTGGTTCCCTTCCAATTCTGCTTTACCTTTTTTCAGCTACTTTTCATGCTTACTTGCTTGTGTAAATCTGTAACTAACTGGAGCAGCTGCAAAAAGGTACTTCTTGTCGATGAAAAAATCAGATTGTTTCAGATGACTGAAGAGAGAAGTTAAAAGCCCGAAAGATGAACACATCTAAAAATGCATCCTAAAGGATTCACTTAACAGAACTTACTCAAATGCAAGCCCGTCCCAGACCAAAACCCTTATCTAACACACTATTATGGGTACCATACATAGCTGGAGAATCCTGACAATTGCTTCTGTATTGGGGCTCTGTTTGGATAATTGTATGTACACCTTAGAAAACATTCCAAGTGATGGATGTGCCAAGTATCATTCAGCCATGAAAATGTAAGTAAGCTACAAAATAGGATTCAATCATGAAAAACATCCAGTAACATTAGAAGAAGGTCTCTTTATGGAATTTCCACTAAGATCAAACAACTCTTTTCCCTCACAAAATGAACGCTACCACATGTTTATTCTGTGGACCCATAGCAGATGGATATTAGTGGAGACTGACATGTTAGAAGGCTTTCTTCCTTTAAAGATTTCCTAAAATTATGCTATTGGGGTAATGACAAAACAGACTTTTTCCTTGGGTATTCGCTTGAGATGGAAGTTCTTAAAGTGTCCAGGGAGTTTTCCATCTGCACAGACTGTGATTTTCTGCACCTCTTTGTGAACAAGTCCTTGTAGAATTCCGCAGCCTTCTTCTGGAAGTTTTTCCCAACAATCACATACAAGACTGGGTTCAGGCAGCTGTTGCTGTAGGAGCAGTATGTGGCTATCTGGGTCAGAATGTCATTGATGTCCTCCAGGCACCTGAGGGTGGGTGAGAAGTAACGGATTGTGTCGATGAATGTGCTGATCTGGAACGGAAGCCAGCAAATGATGAACAGCAGGAGCACAGCAAAGACCAGCATGGTGGCTCTCCTCTCTGTCTGGACTACCTTCATTTTTCGTAGCTCACTGCTTCGTAAGGCCTTGATGATTTGCACAGTGCAATAGGTAATCACACAGAATGGGATCACAAACCCCACAATATTCAGCAAGCTGTTGTTTGTGGGCTCCCAGAAGCTAGCTGGGTAGAGAAGAACACAGGCTGTGATGTTGTACTCTTTAAAATAATGCAAATTTCGAAACGCCATTGTAGGTGAACACATGAGCAGTGCACATGTCCAAATTACAAAACAGTTCCATTTGGCACAGACGGTTCGTCTCATCCGTCCAAGGGACATGGTTTTCACCAGGGCCAGGTAGCGGTCAATGCTCACTAGTGTCAGGAAATAAATGCTAGAATATAAGTTCATGTAACTCATAATGTTGATGGCTTTACAGAAAAACTGGCCAAAAGGCCAATGAAAATTATTAGAAATATTAATGGCCCAGAAAGGTAAAGTACAGACCAGCATTAGGTCAGCAAATGCCATGTTTGCTAGGTAAATTTCAGCCACTGTGCAGCTACTCTTGTGGAAACACAGGACGGTGAGCACAAAGGAATTTTCTATTGATCCCAGAATAAATATAAACCAGAGAAATCCAGGCTGAAAATCCTGTAGCCATTTCCACACATCTGCACTAACACATTCATATTGATCTATCTGATGCACTCCTGAATTATTGTGGGAATATTCTGGACTGACTGTGAGCTCCTGGGTAGTCATGTTGTACAGCTGCGTAACATTTTCAGCTGTGATGGAAACCATTTCTGTGAAGAGAAAAATAGATGACATGAGATTGCTGGATCTAGCTTGTTGCTGCAAAAGACACAATAAGAAAAGTCTTTTGCTTTTCCTAATGTCCTCAAGCATAGCTTTTGAACAGGCTTGCAGTTCCCTGGGCTGCTTCTCATAGACACTGGGTGTGTCTGTAGAATGTTTTACAGACTGCAGTGCTATGGACTGCCTGGACCAATTTTAGGGAAGTAAAACAGAGGGGATGTAGCAACAACGGGTATTGTTATGAATGGGTTAACTGAAGAGAATGTTTAGAAGCCTTTATTCACTAGAACTGAGCTGCAGCAAGTCTTTGTTAATTCTTTGAGGATGTTCATCATTATTTTGTCTTATATTTTTATTACACTAGCCATGGTCTCCTAAAGGACAGGTGTGCCTTGTGTCTCAGGTTACTCATGGTAAAGCTGCTAGTTCTGTGTCACATCCTACAACATTTGACACCGTCCCCTGCAAAGCAAGAATTGACTGGAATTCAGTTGTGCTTCCTCCCCAAAGAACACCATCTATTTTCCCAAATGTCATGACTGTACAATAAGCAGACACTTAGTTTGCAGCTCTAGCTTGCATTGAGAACGCTGAGGGATCAGTGTTTGCCAGCAGTGTGCCTTTCTCAGCTTCTCACTGAAATTGTCTGTGTATTTCTGTCTCTGTGTTTCAGCCCCTTTCTGCAGCCAAGTCCCTGTAGAGATAAATGGTACAGCCTTCCTGAGCTGTTTTAAGAGGTGTGCAGTGGGTGGGCTGGCAGTCTGGTAGAGACAGTGGCCATCCTGTAAGCCAGGACTTGTCTGCAGTCAGCCAGCTTGGGTGCAAGAGCACCGTCTGAAAACTAGAATACTGTAAACATTCTACAGATCAGAACAGGGAGCTATTGGCAGGCAGAAATGTCAGATGTGTACCTCAATGTTATTAGAACCAAACAGAAGTTGAGTGAGCAGCATCACTCACTACTGATAAAATGCTAACTGTGTTTTCCTGTTGTTGTGTTCTTGGATAATGAATGCTGAGATATTATTCAAATGCAAGATTGGCTTCCCAGATCTGTACATATAATTCTCTGGACTGAGTGACAGAAATACTGTTTGTCTTTTTTTAGGTCTTTATAGTAACCACTGTTTATATTATCATTTGATTGGAAGCTTTTCAAATGTGTTTTTAATTAAGACATTTGTCCTATTCAACCAATTACTTGGCATGAAGAGGGATGCACTTGCAATTCCTGAAAGGATGAGGATTATCACTTGTTTTCTGGTTGCTGGAATTGTTGGCTGGTATCAGTGCCTAAAATGCATACAGAAATTTGGCTATTGGTTACAGAATTGATGAAAAATTATGGTCATATTTAGTGTACTTTGTGTGAATAAAACACTGTAGCACTTAAACATCTCAAAGCCCAGATTGTATGGATGTGAGGGCTGTCACTTACAAATTGCAAACAGCAGTTTCAAGTCTCCCTTTCTTTCTGTGCTGGCACTTCACACTGTAAAAACACATAGGAAGTGAAATACTAAAGGATGGGCAACAAGAGGTCATCTGTGAATAGAGAAGTTCTGTTGCCTGATGCAATTAAGAGAAACTGTTTCTTCTGCTGGTAATAGGCTGTGAACCAGCAGAAAAAAATTTAAGTGCATTGTTTTACACTTTGAGGTTGAACATATGCACAATAAGATGAACATTAGTAATTCAGAGAGGGGTCATAAAGGTCATGTTGGCTTTTTCTGGGATTTTCCCTCATTACATTAATTTACAGAATTTAATTTACAGCAGATAGCAGCTCCAAAACTGCATATTGATTTATTTGTATGTTCTCTGCCATTAATCTCTTTCAGATTTTGGTTTAAAAGGGAGAGACCTAGAATACTGTAAAATAAGTTAGTCATATCATATTACTGTGGTCTAAGAACAGTGTGCAGGGACTAGTTAGGATGTCACCAAGTCCATGACGTGGGGCTTCTGGCAACCTGCCACCTTGGTCCTTAGCTCAAGTCCTTCCATAATGCATTGCTAGAAATAGGGGAGTGAACAAGGTAAAGTGTGCTAATTATCAATTTACAAACCCTAATGTTTAGGGTTAAAATTATGTGCTTGATGCTATTCCATAATGTACAGGATGCTCATTTAAAGTATGTGATTGCTGAATAAATTATGATTGACAAAGCCACAGCTTACAGAAGGCCACGATTTGCTGTTTTCTTGTTGTATTTTGGTGAAAATAAATGTGATCCTTTCACATATTCTCTACAAATACTTTCTGTGCAATGCAAGACAAGCCTAATACCTCAGCACGGACTTTCAATAAGATTTCATGTGGCAGTCTTGGCTGAAATACTGCCCAGCTGAACTAATCTATCATTACTGATTCTGAGGGACCCCTGTGTGGGGTAAATTTGAACCTGATGGAGTTCCCATCCTGTTGTGAGTTACCTCCTCCTTGGCAGTCTATAAACCCCACTGTCAGTCAGGTTGTTCTGGAGTATCTTTTTTAATAGCATTGGGAACAAATGACAAGGTTTTGATGGAGGGTGCCCTGTGTGGGAGGCAGTCGTGGCCTGGAGGTGCTGGTGGTGACCAGCCCTGTGCCTCTGGCAGGCACTGCCCCCACCAAGGCAGGAGGGCTTTGGGGCTGGCTCATGGGTGCTCTTTGGGTGTTCTTGGCAAGATCCTGCCAATGCTGCAACCAGGAACCCTTGTAGAGGAACAGGGAAGAAGGGGTTGATCAGCTGTTGGATTGTCATTGCAGGCAGGTGGAGAAGGACTCCGAAAAGATGGTGGTGACCAGTGCCACAGCCTGAAACTGTGAGGGCTGGGCAGTGACCAGGGCACCTTGGTGTCTCCTGCCAAACTCCTGGGATGTCCTGCTGTTCAAGGACTGACCCACACATGCAGCACTGGAGGGAGACAGGCATGAGTTAATCAGCAAGCCAAGGAGAACCAGACCAGAAGACAGGCATGAGTTAATCAGCAAGCCAAGGAGAACAGCAGAGTGGTTAATCCTAGAATGTGGAGGGAAAATGTTACAGCAATACATGCTGGGGCTATGGGAGTTCCTGAAAGAAAAGGAGGGGAATATGTTGAATTGGAACAAAATGGATCCTAAAAGGATCAAGAGGTATGAGCTAAGGAATGGAAGGTTAGGGGAAAAAAGGTCAGAGCTCAGTTAATGCTGCTGCTGGGTTAATGCAAGCTCTGGCACAGCATTACTCCCCAGATGGGATATGCTGCTTCAAGTGAATGTTTTTCACCATCTCTTTTGGGTCTGAATGAAGACCTACAGCTCCTGAACTCATGATTCTGTTAGTATTGCCACTGGTGCTAATCTTTCCTTGTGTTATGCTAAACATTTCCATACAGTGAATAACTAATGTCTCATGATGGTCTTAGTCGTGCCTTATACAAGGACAAGTTCTGAAATGTGTAATGAGTTCAGGTTATTCCAATGTCACCTGCACTAATTACTCTGGGGGAGTAAGAGAGAGACTTTGTAACATATTTTACAGCTGTTGTGACTTTGCTGATTACATGTTTTGCAGAAACAAGGTGTGAAATTTGTCATTAGTATATTCTGAGATTATTTGTCATAATATTAACCTTGCTAATTTAGTCCTCAAAGAGAAGAGGTGGAGCCTGAAACAGATAAATGCTGTTAAGATGTTAACTGCTATAACGTTGTTTGCTGGAACAAAAGAGAGAATATTAAAAAGCATAGGTACACAGTCCTGATGTTTTCCTACACAATCTAATTTGCAAGGACAAAGGATAAAGTGAGCTCAAGGCCTCACTAGTCTTCTCCAAATGAGGAATTTCTGTGATGGATGATCATCCATGATGAAAGTTGCCTAGAAAGCAGCCTTATTTTCATTTTATTTCAGGGATTTCTTAGCAAGGTCATGTGAAGGATAGGTATGACACCCAGACTGTAGCATCCCTAGCAGAATTTTACAATTACCTGGCTTTAAGTGCTGTCAGTGACCAGAAGTGTTTTCAGAGACATACAGCTGGCTTGCCATACACACATACAGCTCCATGTATAGCTGGGGGTCAGTGGCACAGAGGAGAGGAAAAGCTGGGAGCAAAAATATGGGTTTTAATGGATGGCTGCAAGCTGAGAGGCACTGGCTGACTTCTGACATGGTGATATTTTAGAACATATACTAGCTGCGGAAAGAAGTAGCAAGGGCTGCCCCAGCCTCTCCTCTGACTATATCTCTGCAGAGTCCAGCCCTGCTTTGACATTTTCTATTTGTTGTGTGAGTTTGTTCTCCAGAACATCTCTGAGCCCAGCTTGGGCAGCCAAGTGTCCCTGGTGGTGCCTATTTGCCAGGCAGCCTTGCTTCTTCATGGTAATATAAAAGCTACAGTCAATGTAACACAGGAGCTGCTGGAGCCATGAGAGGAAAAAGGGTATTTACCTGACAGATCTGCTGTGACTGAAATGGGAAATAGCAGGAGTTCCAAAGCTGCTGCAGGTAAGGGAGGTCAGCTGCAGTGTGGTCTGGGCAAGGAAGCCTGGGAGTCCTGCTGACCCCATGCAGGTACCAGTGCTGCCTTCAGGAGCCTGGATGTAAACCTGACAGACTCAGCACCTTGTTACAGGCTGGAGTGATGTCCCCAGACTGCCTCATTTGTGACCAGCAGACAGGAATTTGCTGGCTGAGGAGAGAGAAGTTTAATTTTAACAGCTTTGGAGGATTTGGTTCATGGACAACTTCTATTTGTGAGGAAAAGGAGGTTTTTGTTTAGTAATGGATTATAACAAAACAATCTCAATGCATTTCTCCTCCAGCCATACTGACAGGTCTGGCAGGCCTGGAGCACGTGTAATGGGATGGCATAAGCACAGGCATTGCTCAGCAAGACCCCAAAGGTGTGCTGGGAGATTGAGCTTCAGTGGTGGATTCTTACATTCAGAATTTAGTATCAACAAAAATACAGGAAACCCACCCTGTTTATAAATTCTATGCCTTCTCCATAAG